GTATTTAAGAGTCAATCTGAACTTGGCTGTCAGTACTCTTCTACTTTCTATGTAAAGGTAGTTCTCCATTAGCGATTGAGAGTATTTTCTTTTGTGTTACCGTGATAAAGAAACAGGGAATGCTGATAGATGGCTCCACTTCCTTCTGTACTTTCTCCCCATTTATCCTTGAAGAGGTTTTAACCAACTGGTTTTAACATTGCAGTAAGAGTCAATCTGAACTTGGCTGTCAGTACTCTTCTACTTTCTATGTAAAGGTAGTTCTCCATTAGCGATTGAGAGTATTTTCTTTTGTGTTACCGTGATAAAGAAACAGGGAATGCTGATAGATGGCTCCACTTCCTTCTGTACTTTCTCCCCATTTATCCTTGAAGAGGTTTTAACCAACTGGTTTTAACATTGCAGTCATACAAATCCTCCCATCAATTTTCAGCAGTACCAGTTAGATTTTATTTATCCTCTTAAATGAGTAGTTCCTATTCTTCTGGGGTTGGTTTATGCAAATTCTTGGCATTGATGCAAGGATATTAAAGAAATATTTTGCTTCATGTCCTGTGGTGTTTTGCTTAATTTTGTTTTTAGCAGCATGAATTTGTGCTAAATGACTGTACTACATTATTCCCTCCTTTCACTCTTACTGCTCTTAATATAAAGTCCTCATCCTCAATCTAGTCAGATTAATCCTAAAATGATTGTCAGTGGGAAGCCATCCAAACCGTGAAATTCTTTCTGCTCAGATGGAAAAGAACTCATGCTCTATGTAAGCTAAGCTGTCTCATTTAACTAGCCAGAGATTTGCTTTCAGTTTGCAGGCTTCCATCTTTCTTTGCTCATGGGATTACCCCCACAGTCTTTGTAATTATAAAAAAAGTTTAACTAGCAAACCACATTAAATATTATCTAACTATTCCCAGGCAAGGATATTTGCAAATCAGTCAACCATGGCTGTGAACATGCTTGTGTTAATGCTGGTGATTCATTTGTTTGTAAGTGTCAGGAGGGATTCCTGCTAAGAGAAGATGGAAAAACATGCAAAAGTAAGTAGTCTGATATTTATCAGCATACTTTTTATCTGCAGCTCATGCTTGTGTAGAAACGTATTAACCAGCAAGAGCTGTCATCTGTTTTCAGATAAAGATCTTTGCAAATCAGTCAACCATGGCTGTGAACATATTTGTGTTAATACTGGTGATTCGTATATCTGCAAGTGCCATGATGGGTTCCTACTGAGAGAAGATGGGAAAACCTGCAGAAGTAAGTAGCATGAGAACTTAATTTGATGAATTACACATATAATTGAGGCCTCTGCTGAGGTATGTTGACTACCAACTCTTCTGTTTGCAGACAAGGATGTTTGCAATTCAGTCAACCATGGTTGTGAACAAGTTTGTGTGAATACTGAAGATTCCTACATCTGCAAGTGTCGTGAAAAATTCATACTGAAGGAAGATGGAAAGACATGTAGATGTGAGTAGCCTGAGCTATAGAAGTATGTTTTTATTTGAGGCTTTTAAGTGCTGTGGCTGTGATTGTTTGCATATGTGTATGTTTCTGATTTCCAACTATTTGAGCAGGTTAATAAAAGATATTATCTCTCCCTAATGAAGCTCACCTCACAAACTCCATCCACTCTTTTCAGATAAAGATGTTTGCAACTCAGTTGACCATGGCTGTGAACATATTTGTGTTAATGCTGATGATTCCTATATCTGCAAGTGTCATGAGGACTTCATACTGAGGGAAGATGGGAAAACTTGTAGAAGTAAGTTGTTTAATCTTTGTTTTGTACTTTCTGATCTGTTAATGGAACACACTATGCAACGGTAGTGTGTTATTTGTGTCTTAATATAGAATCAACTTCATGGAAGTGAGCTCCTTCATGGAAGATTACTGCCATAATTTTTACATTTTGTGAAAGTTATTTACCTAGCTTACTGTGCTAAATATAATTTTCATTATTCCAAGGTAAAAATATCTGCAAAACAGTCAACCATGGTTGTGAACATGTCTGTGTTCCAACTGGCGATTCATATATGTGTCAGTGTGACAAGGGATTTATACTGAGGCGAGACAGGAAAACATGCAGCAGTGAGTAGCTGAAACTTTTATGAGGAATATGTTTTTTCAGTCATAAAAGAAATAACAGACTTAATTTCACTCAAAGCTTGTTCATGCCAGTTTTGCATTTGAGAAATGGTCTAATAAGGAAATTCTCTTAACAATTCTCAGATAAAGACCTGTGTAAATCCATTGACCATGGCTGTGAACATGTGTGCGTTAATAATAACAATTCATACAGCTGTCAGTGCCATGAGGGTTTTGTTCTGCGACAAGATGGGAAAACATGTCGAAGTAAGTAACTCAATATGTCTGTCAGCCACTCTTCTCTGGCATTGCTACGAACAAAGATCTTATACTCCGTTGTCATACATTCTTCAAATATAACGTTTGAGGTCTTTGAATTTATAAATATGTTAAATAGCATACATATAAATATTTCAATTTTTCCTAGATAAAGATGTCTGCAAATCAGTTGCCCATGGTTGTGAACATATTTGTGTTAATAATGACGATTCATACATCTGCAAATGCCAGGAGGGATATGTACTAAAAGAGGATCAGAGAACATGCAGAAGTAAGTACATTTTATTTAGAAAGCATTTGTTTCTTTGATTTCTAAAATTACTTGACCTCACTTCAAATGCCTCACTTCAAAAAATGCCTCACTTCAAAAATGATACAATATTTGAAAGCCCAAAGCATCTGTGAGTGTGATGGAAAATGTCTTGAACAATTAACTTGATGCTCTATAAGCAAAAAAACTAACAAATTGGAAGAGTTGTTTTGGTATAGCATCAAGCACGATAATAATTCTTTCCAAACATCAGGAAAAAAGCCAAAGTGAAATCTTATTATCAAGGAATGTGCACTTTAATCAGATCCATATACTATGGAGCTTTTATCTTTATATACTCTGTTTTAAAATATCGTTAATTCTATTTGCTTATCTTCTAACATGACATGCTTAGAGTATGACATGCATTTATCTCATCACCCCTTAATTCTTGGAGGAGAAATTCTTCTACTGGAACTCAGTAAAAACATTTGTTCTGCAAAAATATATGCCTTAGCTGGGGAGACTATTATTACCAAAAGAATGGTAACATGTTCATGGCTGATCTCAATCCTAACTAAAACCATTCACCATGAACTGCTGCCCTATCTTGACTTGCGCAATGATATTGAGGTGGTTCTGATATTCATGTTCATTGCATTTCCATCGCCTTAGTACACGCGACACATCTTTTCCTCAGATGACTGCAGAAAGGAATTATTGGACAGCAGTTTTAAAATAGAGCTATTGTCTAAGAAGAAAAGCCCAAGCTTTAAAGCTGGAAATTCCTTATTCCTACACTGACTTGGTAACAGACATCTTCAGTTATTTCTGCAGTCAAAGTAATTTCTGCTGCACAATTCTCTCTTGTATAGTGCTTACAGTATTCTTATTATACAAACATCAGAGATGAGTGGAGGTCAAAGTTCATTTGGTCCAGACTAAGATGCAAATCTTACATTTCTTAGTATGGCAAATTCTCCCTGGAAGCTACATTGATCAAATAGGAGCTGAGCATCTCTGCAGCCAGCCCCTTGCACAAAGTGCACTAGTCTATGCCTGCTGGAGGCAATTGCTTTCCGGAATAAAAAAACACCTGGCAGAACCAGTCTGCAGCTTCAAAGACATTCTCCAGTCCCTAAATTCCCTAACCTTGTCATGGATGCACGGTGACTACAAACTGCTTTGATTTTTGCGTGTGGACTTGCCAAACTCCAAATTTGTCAGTCTCCTGACAAACTCCCGGAATGGTAAGCTTTAATGGGTAAACCAGAAAAGGTCAATTTCAGCAATACATAAGCCTTCAATTACAACATTGTTAGAGAGTTACAAGCAAAAAAACTTATATAAACAATTCTGATCCATGTTTAGCAGCTAGGCACATTTCTAGCATTTACTCTCTCACCTATAGTTTTTTAGCTGTTTTTCTGCCACTAGAGGTTTAAGTTTGTGCTATAAAAACATGTGCATTGTCTGAATTTTGTCCCCAGACTTGAACCTCATTCTAAGCTCTAGGGCAGGCCACCTAACCCTTTTCTTCTCGCTCAGCCTTCCCCAAGCTCTTTGGCTTTTGCCTCACTGTTCCCTGCCACTCTAAATATGACTCCTAGATTTTCACCTTATATACAAGCGTGGCTTCACTGACTCATTTCTTTGTACCACCTTTACCTTTTTGCTACTTCTGCAACAAAAATGCTGCTCCAATGATTCTCTTCCATGTCTTTCAGTGCTGGTTATCTACACAGATGTAAAGTTAGCATAGGCCTATCCCTGGAAGAAAACAATGGCAACTCTGTCTCTATATCCTAGCTATATTCTTCAGTTATACAGTTCTCTCCACTTAACAGTCATTCTTAAAATTTGCCAATTGTTGTTGTATTTTTAAGAGTTGTAGTATTCTGCAAAGCAGCATGTCTCAGTAAGTATTCACTGTGATTATATTTTTGTTAAACTCTTGGTCATAGGTACACTCTTAGCTTTTGATACAGCCTGTACCCATCTTTAAACATGCTGGCAAAGTTGGATGAGCCAGGAACAAGGTACTCTAGATGATCTCTGAGTTTATGCAGTCCCTGGGTATCTAGGTTCCTTTTTCAGCTTTGTGGAGTTTTTTCGTGATCTGAACACTCTGCTGCTTATTTCACAGCATGCACTGAAGGCCCAGTTGACCTGGTGTTTGTGATTGATGGATCAAAAAGTCTCGGAGAGGATAATTTTGAAATTGTAAAACAATTTGTCTCAGGAATCTTAGATTCACTTGAGATTTCACCCAAAGCTGCTCGAGTTGGTTTGCTTCAGTATTCCACTGAAGTTCGCACAGAGTTTACATTAAGGCAGTTCAGCTCAGCCAAAGACATGAAGAAAGCTGTATCGCAAATGAAATACATGGGGCGAGGTTCCATGACAGGACTAGCTCTGAAGCAAATGTTTGAGAGAAGCTTCACAGAAACAGAAGGAGCAAGACCATTTTCAGCAAATATCCCTCGAATCTCCATTGTGTTTACGGATGGACGAGCCCAAGATGAAGTCTCCGAGTGGGCTGCTAGAGCAAAGCGAAATGGTAAGTGGAGATGGTTTTGATTCATTCTAAAAGGCAAATATTGCTAGAAATAAGATGTGGTAATAGTAGGGATGTGCTATAGTGTGTGTTAATCAAGAGACCGTTTGCCATAGCAGTCTGGCTAGTACAGTGACCACTGTAGCAGAACATCGGGTGTTTGGTGTTCACAGGAGCCTTTGCTATGAGGCATGCATGTCATCCCTAGTGCGGGACTCATGATGAATATCTCACCACTGGGGTTCCGTGCCATCCACAGTTAGTGGCACTACCCACCTGGCATTCCATGCAGTGCCCTAAACATATCCACTAAGGGTAGACATTTGATACAGAGATTTGGGAACACTGGGAACTTCATCAAAAATTCTAAGAAAACAATAAAAAAGACATCCTGACTTTTCAAAATACAGAAATCTATCCTCCTGAGAAATACTATGGTAATAATTGGTTATGTTATATTTTTATTTACATATATTCTATATTTTTAACGAATTTTATAGTGCTGATGGTGTTCTGGAAGGAAGATGGATTGTCTTTACAAAAGGATATAGCTGTAGTGCTGTCTATATTTCTGTTTCTATGTGCCTTATAAGGTGATATGCTGAAATGTAACTGAAAATTGGTGATTTTTAATTTAGAATATGTCTGGGCAGAAATCCATCCTCTAGGACACCTGTACCACAAATCAGAAACTTTTCAGCTGTTTAGCAGAGTCAACTGAAAATTTTGAAAACTCGTCAAGAAAATAAAGGATCCCTTTTTCCTTTGCGAAACATTTTCTATTTTATGAAAAACTACTTTAAGAACCATGGCTGATGGCCTACAACACAGAGAAAATACCCAGACTTTAGAAGATGCTGCACATCTTTTTTCTGTTCTTGTTTTATTGACTTGATATATCAATCAAAACTTGATACATGATGAGTACAGTGTTAGTCAGGACTGATACCTCTCTGTAAGGAGAAAAGGGAAAAATGTCCAAGGATATGAGAAGAGCATGTGCTAAAAAGGGTGCCACTACAAGGAAATATAAACAAAGTGGTTTTTGAAATATTAAAAACAAAACCAAAGATTTATACGCTAACTAGTGAGATCTGGGAAAGTACATGGAGGATTTATGGGACTGAAGAAAGAAAGAAGTACAAGCCAACCTTGCTTACTTGCTGAATGAAACCTCAGCTCCCAACTGCTTACACTGATACTTGTAATGCTACAAGCCAAATCCATCCCCTGTGTAATTGCAGCGTAGGCAATGTAGTAATGCTGAATATGAAATTGGCCTTGAATGCTTTATCACTGGTATCTCCAAGTCTTTAAAAAGCAACAGACCTCAGCATGACTGGTCCATTCATTAAATTGAATCAGCTTCTGGTGAATGTTTTACTTTCCTGGCTAAACTGCAATGGTAGGCAGGTTCATGTCGAAAAGTAAGGAGATGCTTACGTTAAATGTTAGAGAGTTAGAAAATGCGTATTTTATGATGTTATCAGGCCCAGGATTCTTCAGCAAAAAGGTTAAAGTTGCAATTCAGTGAGTATGTAGCTGTTATTACCCCGTGATAATAAAGAAATATCAAACCGCCTCATCCTAAGTTTTACCTGAAACCAACCACTGAGAAGGCAGCTTCTTATAAAAGAGCTTGAAATACTATGAAGCGAATAGTTGTATTATGAATCACAAAATCAGTACTAGTTGTGGACACTTTCTAAGCCAGAACTGATGTAAAAAGAAATGCTGTCTCAGATCATATGTTCATGAGAAAAAAAAAATAACTGCTGAAAAAGGGGATATTGAAGATCACTATGTTTTGTATTCATTGCTTGTTTAAAATCTGTCCGGTGAGAGGGCTGTGAACCACTTCCTCCTTCCCTGCTTTCAGAGTGAAGAAAACTACAAATCCTCATTTACTTTCTCCCTAGCACCTCTGCTGGGGAAATGCTTGTTCCGAGCATCCCTGTTGTAAGGCTCTTTCTCTCCTAGCCCCACAAATCGTTTCTTTTCCCCTGTTCTTACTCTCTTAGGTCTGGGTGCCTTTGCAGTGCCTCCCAGCCCAGTAGTGTCCCTTAGAGTGCAAGAATCTAGTCTCAATATGCTCTGAGGATTTCAGTGAAACACTAAGTATTTACATTTTTCTTAAAAAATTACTGCCATCTTTCAGGATTCTGCCCCGTTTGCTAATATATAACAGGTCTTCCCATCAACCCAGTAATTAGCTTTATTGCACACACCCTACGTACACAGACACGCACAAAGCAGGAACTTTCAGTGCAGCTGTGAGGCTGGCTTGTGTGATTCTCTTGGATGTTTTGCAGTACTCTTTCTGGGTTCACTTACTATCAGTAGTGGCCAGGCAACTGTCATCTCCAACTTAAAAACTATCTGTTAAATTACAGCAAAGCAGTGAGTTTTTACACATCTCTCAATAACTAAAGTATATTAAGCCTGTTCAAAACCGATTTTGAAGTTACACAGCATATACATTTCTTGTGCTCTCCCTTTCTCTCTCTCTAAAATGACTAATGCTCATATTTTCCTTTCATGGAAGAACAAGGGTTTAGAACTCCTGATGTAATAATTATGTGCAATTTCTTTTGAATCTAGGTATAATTATCTATGCCATTGGAATAGGAAAAGCAATTGAGGAAGAACTGCTGGAAATTGCTTCTGAGCCATCATATAAACATCTGTTCTATGCTGAGGATTTCACAGCTATGGAGGACATAAGTGAAGCGCTAAGAGCCCAAATCTGTGAAGGTAACAGTATTCCACTTTCATTGAGATAGAAGAGGAATGAATGCTTATAGATTTTTTTGCAGGCCTAAAAGGACAACTAATGTCATAGTATAGGTCATAGATCATTGGTGTCAGACATTGCAAGGCATAAGTCACTCACGGTAATTTTTCTGCCCTTTAATGTGTGAGGAATATATACCCTTAATCTATCACCAGGTAAAGGTATATAATAATTGTCTTTTCTTTATTTTCATAAAGGTTGCATAAAATCTACACTTCTGTGCCCAGAAGAATCAATTGCTCCCTCCCATTTCTTTTTCTACAGTTAAGTCAGCCATGTACTGAACCCCACCCCGCCAAAGAAGCACTATCTACTTCATTAGGAATGTGGGAAAATAATCAGGGATTTGTAATGTCTTAATGAGAATAAAAAATTACTCTTAAGACCAAAAACCTAAACCCCAGCAGAACAAATCATCAAGAGCTGTTGTGCGTTTTTATAGATTAAAAATAGTTCATTGACATTCATTCACAGCTACAAAGAATGGATCTCAGTTATACATAAGCTCCAAGTTTTGCTCCACAAATGTGGAAGGTTTGTTCCAGAAAGCACCCTTCCTCACTCTGGCACAAACAGCCTCTATATAAACATTCCCAGCTGAAGTTTTGCAAGGGGAAGGGGGAATGTGAGCTGGGACAAAAGCTGTTCAGCCAGAGAGAGGCCAGCATGTCTCTCCCACTCACAGATTCCCAGGATTTGGTATTATTTGTACATTCAAATTGGTACCTGAAGCAAAATTCAGAAACTTCACTGTGAATAATATTAGTCATAGCACTAGAATTGTGCAAGATGATTTAATTTTTACTAGCTTTTATTTGGTTGTTTTTCTTGGAATTAAATGCACACAGGTTTTATTTTCTTCTTTAATGTTACTGTGTGAAATTAGCTGGCAAACAGCAGTGCGTTTCTTCCTCATACAAATGTCAAGGGAGAATCTGAAAAAAAGAATCTCAGAATGTTTCCTAGCTTGTATTCTTTGTGTTTCTCTCCGTCCTACGAAGTCCTAGTTCCATCTTTGTGAAATACAAAATACTATGATAACATGAAACCAAGTCTGTTCAATTAACCTTCTTATTAGGCAGATAATCTGCTCATGACAACACGTCATCTTAAAAGCTTGGGGAGACACCAAAGCCAAAGCTATCTGGCAACCGGTATAATAGTTCTCACTCATTAGCAAACCCTAGAGCTCGGTGATGGAAATGCATCCTTCAGGTACTCATAGCGGTGTTTAGCAACTACGATTTTCTTTTTTTTTTTTTTGAAACATTACTTACCATATGAAAAGTAAGTAAAGCCTGCCCCTTTGTGGCAGTTAGACTACACTTCTAGTGACTGAGCAGAGCTGGTGCCTCTCAGCTTCTGTCCTCCTCCTCTCTCACCGACAGGCAATGCCTCACACCTGTGATCTGAGGACTGACCCAGCCTTGTTTTTCTGGACACTCCAGGACTACCTATTGCTCATAACTCACTCCACCAGAAATTCTGCCTCCAAGCCTGCTACACAAGCTGAAAGTTCATTTTTTCCCCCCGTTTTTGGTTACAGCCTAGATTTTTTCCCTCCTTTTCAACAGCAGTAATTTCATTTTTACTCCAGCCTTGGTCCTTAGCTGAGAAATTCTGAGGCTCCAGCCTGCGAGGGTAGCGGGAGACCCTCTGAACCTCATGGACTCCACTGACAAAGCCTCTCATCCCCAGTCCCAGGTGTGGATGGGCTGCATGTTTCCAAGTAAAGCAGAAGCCCTCCAAGTCTTTTTTGGGGTAACACTTTTTCCTTTTATTCTGCAAGAAAGCATCAGCCTTGTAGAATAGCTGCTGATTACTATTAATTATTCTTGATGACTAGTAGTAAAAAAAAAAAAGTGGTTTTCTCTTTTGCCTCTTATTAAGAGGAATTCAGATGGAAGGTTCCCCTTCATTGCCTTGGTTAATGTTCATTTCTCATCTGACTGGAAGCACTAACGAGGCTATGTCATACATAATACGCACTTATCATGATTGTCTCTTCACCCCTGTTCTGAGCATGTGCATTATGGGAGCCTTTAATTACATGGTCACATACTATTTTTGTCACAAGACCCCAGCCCTGATCAGATTACAGTACTCAGCAGCCTGCTGATTAACATGTTCTCCTTCCAAATTGAGGATTGTTATCACTGCTGCAAATAGTAAGCCCTGCTTTTGAAGACACACTTTTTTTGAAAACACTTTCTCACAGGCTTTTCCTAACAAAATACGTAGGTTTTGTTACAAAACAGAACACTAAAAATAAACACCCAACTTGTCTGATTATTCACAGCTTTACAGAGGTGATGAGATCAGAAATCTTTGGGCCCCAACCAGTTTCTGAAGCCTGAAGAGGAGTTTCTGAAATGCCCAATTCCCGTCCTAAACTGGAGACCCTCTGCAACACCTCTACCAGTGTATCTATCAGTCTTCTTTCCTGTCCCATACATCTGAATCCTAATTACTTGTCTATACCAGCCCAGTGTCCAAAGCTCAAACTGTTCAGGTCAGTTCCTCTGCCATTCCCAAACAGCTTCCTCATTAGCCTACAGCTCTTAAACTACTTCTAGAGCAAGTCATTACCCAGGGTCAAACACTCAAGGTTCATCTTACCTGTGTCTTCCCTCCTACACTGGAAATCTCACCATCCTTGTTCCCAGTTGATCATTCTTCTGCTAGACTCCTCACCCAGTTTGTTTCATTCCTTACCTCGTGATCTCACCCGCACCTCTCTGCCCTGAACTCTTCTCCAAAATCTGTGTTCCTTCCACCAGCTGGTTCCCACGCAGACTTTTTGATATATATATAAATATTGTAGTTCTGCTCACTGAACTCTGGTCTTCTGACTCAACCACTCATCTCTGTTCATTCCCTGTTCCTCATGCTCAGTCATTCCAGCCCCCACACAGAGGGTCTCATCTCCTTCCCAGTGCAACTTAGCACAGCTGCATATTATTGTGCATCTGCCAAAATTCACTAGACCAACAGAGATCCCAATAGCTGTAACAAACCTGTGGGGCCCAGAAGCATCTTCCATCACCTTTTACCTTCATGCATTCACTTTCAGTGAAGGAACTCTGGGTATATTTGCGGGGAGGGAGTCCCAGATGCTCCATCCATTCCCCTGGCACAGTTGATCAAGTCGTGCAGTTGTTAAATGTATGTTCTTCAGCTCATCTGGGCCATTAAGGGCTCCACAGTTAATTGAAGGTGAAGCATTTATTTTCTAGAAAAGAACCCGTTCTTAAGGAACCAAAGCTGCCTCTACATTACCCTCTAGCGGCAAGAAAGGGGTAGTGCACAGAATTACTCTTGAGGTGGTTGTACCTACATATAAAATAGGTTTCCATTTCTCTCCAGACACCCTTTGACTAAAAAGATCGGTATGTGGAGTCTGAAATAAATTCCTACATTTTAAAGGCTGTGCTTCATGAATTAGAAACTTCTGTTTTTGCTTAGAACTGTAGTGCATCAAATGAACTCTACTGCACCCTTCTCACCTAAACACTCCCAACTCCGTGATCAATGTTTCCCATTATAAAGGAGAAAATTGAAGGAGAATAAGAAATTTCTTCCTTCCCCAAGCAGTTTTTATTCTTATTCAGTTCACCCCAAAGGACTGATGGATGACATTGAAACATGCAAGAATTTTCATTAAAGGACACAAAGTAGGTTGCAGATTGCTTCACTACTATTAATCTATTTGTAAAGCACTTCTGGTTTTGGAAGAGTTCATCTGATAGTCTGAGTAGAAGGGTGAGTCCTGGACTTTCCATCAACACTGGACCTCTTCTAAACTACACAGGTATGAGACATTCTCCATGTGTTATGAGAGACAAACACCGAATTACTGGTAAGAAACATCTCCGTTTCTAGGGAATGTGAACATTTTTATTGCTCCTTCTGTGATCTCATTTCCTTTGGCAATTTCTTTCTACCAGCCTTGAAAGAGTCAGCTCACCAGCAGGATCCATCACCTGGGAGGCTTCATAAGACTGGTGCACAGCCTTCAGGTTGGCTGTTTTAACTCAGTGTCCTGCTGTCTCCCCAGATCATTGCTAAGTTGCCTCTTCATGCCGCCTTCTGTAGAGAACCCTAACAATTCACCTATGAGAGAATTGTTCATCCCATTCCCCTTCCTACCCCGCTCCAAGCCACCCTCCTTTCTGCAATTCAACTCTGCTTTGTACAAAAAGTTTGAGATTCACTGTAACAAACGCATGGCTGCATGCTTCTTACACCATCCAAATGAATTACTTCATGGGGAAACTTGTATTTCAACACTATGCTTGGTATTTTAAAGCATGTTCAGCTTTCAATCACTTCTGTTTCTCACAGGAACCTTCACAACTCCCTTTCAGTTCTGCAACCCACAACCAACTTAAATCATGTATACAGTAAATACAGCCTAACAGCTCGGTTCCTTCACATCTTTGTATCCCTAATCCTCTCCATGAATGATCCTCACTGCAATCAGTGAGATTACTCACTAATTAAGGAGAACTCAGTGCATGTGAGTAGAAAAAAAAATACTGTATAATTAAGTGGGTTTGATTTTTAGATTTTTGGGGGGTTTCCTGCAGGACCTGAATCAACCACAATAGCCATCACAGATGTCATTGCCTGTCCCAATCTTGCAATACACCACAAGTATCTTTTTGAAGACAGTCACACTCACTCAACAAGAACAACAGGTAATCAGGTTACCTTTGTTTAGAATAATCCAGACTGCTCTTTGAATATATAGGCCTACGTGATGTGTACTATTTTCCAGTATTTACAAAATCTGCCCCAGAGCATTCCTTTGGATGTTGACCTGTTCTGAGAATAGGAAGCTGTATTAAACCTGCTCTGCATTTTTAAGTCCTTGTCATTTCCTCCTCCATCCCACTTGATTTATTCAGCGTTCAGCCTATGCTTGACTGTTTCTGTTTTTCAGCAAAAGCTTCAAAAGATAAAGATCAGTGCAAATGTGAAAACCTTGTGACATTCCAGAACTATGCAACCAATGAAGTAAGAAGACTCACCCAGCGATATATCCTTTCAGAATAATTGTTTCTTACATATAAGACAAGGGGGGCAGGTTAAAAGAAACTATAATTATAACGTATCAAGTCTAAGCTGTCTCCATAGTTCAAATCAATCTACTGTAAAGAAAAACAACTACTTAATAGATAATGTTAACCTCCAAGAAGCAAGACTTTTAAGACTTGAAATCTGCCTCCCCTTCATAGAAGGGACCAAAATATTAATAAGCATCTTAACTTTTCATAATCCCTAACAGTAAAGACCTTCAGGGACAGCAAAGAAATGACTAGTCAAATTCAAGACTGACACTTTGCTTTGGGTTATTTCTTCAGATGGTTTCGAAATAACATTTACTGGCTACAGGAGTCAGAATACAGATGTTTCCCTTCTGAACTGCTTGGTGAAGCACCAGATGCAGTGAGTAATTTAAAACAATACTCCAAATGAAGAGGAATTCAGAGGACTGATTAACTTTGCATAAACAAATATGCAGATAAAGATTAGCTAAGTGCAGACCGATAGCTCTCCCCCCCCGCCCCATTAGTGTCTTTTCAAGGGAGACGTTAGTACAGTAGCCTTTACACCATCTGTAACATCCACCAGATCTCTCAGGAGACAACAGCAGCAAATTGGCAATACAACTTTCTGCAGTATTTTGCATCAGTATCTACACAGCAAATTCCTCTATTTTCTTCATGAAAATTAGGCTTCTGCCTAATCAAGTAAATAGTGAGAAGACATCGCATCTTCTGTTTACATTTTGTAACTGTGTGCAAGATCAATAAGCACTTATTTTCTGCACAGAAGAGTGCAGTGATATCAACAGCTCATAACTGTGCTTCCTAGACAAGAACAGCTTCAGACTGAGGAATCTCTGTTCAGAGTCAGGCTAACAGAGCCCTCAGCGGTCATGACAGCAAGCAAGACCACACAGGGCTCTGTTAACCTGATGCAAAATACTGCCTACCAGTTCAGACCTTACTTCCAGCCATTCTGTGTAACTGCAGCAGCCAACCTCACTCTCTGTCTCACCTTCCCAAGTGAATCCTTCAGCAGTTTGCTCAAGGAATCATGTTCTGATCACTTGATTAATTTCAAATTACTCCATGCAAAGTAGAATTACTTCATAAAGGGGGAGAAAGCCATCACATAAGCTAGGTGCTTCAAATGCTCATCAACATTTATACTTCTCTGAAGGGACTTCTCTGGAGTCTCAAAATGACTTTGGAGAAAAATCTCTCTAGGTTATTTCCCACGTCCTTAAGAGCATTATCCAGACGACCACTCCTTCCCCCTTCAGCAGAAGCCTTAGCCTCTTTACTGTAATCTCGGGCAGCTGGGCTATGAGGAGCTCTGATCTTACTCAGAATCAAGGAAAACAGAGCTTAGCAACATGTGCTTTCTTGCTTTACAATTTAAGCAGGCAACCCTGTGATTTTGAGAGTCTGAGAAGGACTCAAGGTGATGAAAAAGCTGCTGACACTAAGCCAGAGACCTATGCATTTTGATAGGAACAGTGCCACACACTTCCCCAGAGCACTGTGCAACCACTGCTTTGAACAGAGTAAGAACTATCCAGTTTCCTCTCTATTACAAACGTCATTTCTCTGCCTCGTCTGAAGAGCAGCTCAGAAACTGAGTGATATACTAGATCTTGATAACTGCCAAAGACTCTGCTGGCCAGTCCCCATTCCAGAGATCTAGGGAGAGGGAGAACTGGCTACAAGACTAGCTCCAGTTACAGAATATAAATTTAGAGGGACCAATCCAAACTGTCGATGATTTGTATCCAACTACATTTAACTTTTTCCATCAGTAGATGAATGCAGTTTCTAGTGCTTGAACTTTGCCGCTGTAAACACTTGAGAAACATTAATGTTGCATAGAAAGCAGCTCAAATGATGTTGGCATGCATATAGTAATCCCTTCTGCATGACAGGCAGTTGAGGAATTACCAAACATAAACCCGATGTATGGGCACGTTAGTCCCCACAGAAGCAGCACTCCCACTCTTGCTCCACTGCTTTGCATTGCTACAGCTTCTTACTTTCAGTGGAGCCAGCGCTAGATCCCATGGAGCTTGTGCTCTACTCCGTATCTGTCTGGAAACCACTGCCTTTGTAAAAACAATACCCTTACACTACACCAACACAGGGCAGGAATATAAAATCATCAGCAGACATTCATACTGCAGTCATGGAGCTACGTACAGTTTTATAATCTACTGTTAACTTACTTGTAGTTTTCCATGTGGTTAAGTGAAACATTTTTTAAACAGCATTAACTAGGATAAATACGTAGGTTCCCTTTAAAATAGAGGAAAATGGCCAATTTTCAGAACCACCAGCCTTTTTAAATAAGCTGCAGCCTGAACTCCATGTTGAGGTATGCCTGTTAATGCACAGGGCTTCACACAGCTTTCTCAACTCAGCCGATCAAAGCAGCATAAGAAAATACAGGGGAGTATTGTATCAGAAACTACTGGGAGTCAGAGAGGGTAACAGGAGAAACAAGAGCAAGTTTATGGACCACAGCAATCAGACAGCTGACACTCTTTTTCTATTAATGCATGCTGTCAGTAGCTCTCTTTCCTTAACTTTTGTCTACTGGAAGAAATGACGAAGAGAATGGAAGACTTGGAAAACAGGCTAAAATACTAATCAAAATTTAAAGTGTATACTACACTGTATATTTATACATACAAACTTGTCAGAGCTATTTTCTTAAACTGGTTCAAAGTAAAATAACAAATCCTTGTGTCTGAAGTTGAAAAGAATATTTTGGATCCCTGCATCTATATACTATGTGTTCTGTCTTGCATTCATTGCAGATAAGAAATGTTGAAAATTTTATATATATGTATAAACGATTCAGTAACTAGCAAAAAGTCTAATTAAGCAGAACTAAACAACTGAAATAAGCTATGCAAAACAATAAAATGCTGTTATTTTTTGAAGTGAAACCTCCATCTTTTGAAGTACTTTTACGGTATGAATTCATTTGGCTTGCTTTTCTGTATTTCCCTCCTCCACTCACTCTGCTAGTATTTTAAGCACCCTATCTGTGTGGATATATATAGTTCTATATATACATACATATATAAAAACAGAACAAGTGGGACAGCATTCACAGCAATTAGGTTTCACTTATATTCTTCCAACAAGAGTAGACTACTGAAATCGCTTGGAAGTAAAAATAGGATTTATACATTTGTGTTAAAACTGTGATGAAAGTAAATGAGCAAAGTGGGAAGTCTGCCGGATTATCAGGGTTTCACAATCCGACGTTTCAAGTCCTGTTTCTCTTACCGCATCCAGACCATGTAACTTCTCCCTGCTGTTCCTTGGTCAGCATTCAGTGATTCTCTAACTTTCCTGAATGCAACTAGTATTTTAATTATGAAATCATTCTTTGGGCAGTACAACTAGCTGCATGCCTGTTTGTCAAAGACGCAAATGAAAACAGCAAATTGCTTCCAGCCATTCTGGCCAACTGAAGTGCCTTGAAGTTTTACTCCTTCCCCTTGGCAGCAACGGCACTCTTCTGCCAGCTTTACTTTCACGCTAACAGCAGTTATCTATATAGTATCTAAACTATCTCTTGAAGTGATCCAAATCTGGGGTTTAATAGGTAGAGACACCAGCACTTCCTCCTTTGCTTTGACACACGTTGGTTTGGTTTGCCTCTTTTAATATCTCCAAATGGAAATTCACAACTTCATCCATTCTATACCAGAAGCAGAAGTAGCTGCAGCAAAACTAGATTAAGTGATCTCAGATAAGCTAACGAATCTGCATGGATACATAACAGCAAGCTTTAAGGTACCTTGTGCTTTGGCATGCTGTGGCAAACAGAATACAAGTTCTGCAAGGATACCGGTACATACTGATTTTCGTTAGGTGCTGCTTTTACCGCATGTCAGCGAAGGACTGGCACCTCAATTAATAATCACTATAATGAGGAACATCCTGCAGTCATGGTCTCGCACAAAACAGGCACAAATCTGTAAGATACCAATGCTCTCAGCAATAGTGACTTGAGAACACCAACTCATCTGTCTCTAACATAATGTCTTCAAAAAACTAAAAAAAAAAAAAGGACTAATTTAAAATCAGATTTGAAGAGTTAATTGGTATCTTGTTGAAAGTATGATGTTATACATCATGTCTAGCAGCTATCGCATTTGCCACCTGACAGGTATGTATTCTCTTGGAATGAAGAGACAAAGGGGATAATGTGCATTAGTACTTTGTGATTGACTTGATAAAAATAGTGTGAATTTTTTTACTATAAGTAAACCTTTTTGGGTCCCCCACCAACATCCCAAATTTGCTACTGTACCTCACATTACAACCTGGTTTTGCATTAGCACTCAAAAACCAAAAACCTAAGGAAGCCCTAGACTGTTGGGATTTGACACCGTACTTGCCATGATCAAGTCTTACTCCACTTACCTCTCAAGATCCACAACTTCTAGAGAAAGAAACAGGCAAGTTTTCTCCTGTGAAGGTTATTTCTAACAAAACAGGAAACACAGCAGTGGTAATGAATCTCCATTTATATAGTTTGTTCCCTAAAACCAGCAAAGGTATAATACAAGTTTTTCTTAAAACACATCTGTAACCAGTTTTATTGTAGAAATAACACCTTTACAGCATTTACTTCTCACTGGTTTGTTCTGGCATGCTTCTAATGATGTCAGAGTCACCTGTAAAACAAAAATATATTCTTACAAGAGGACCCACAGAAAGATGTGTTTTCAGGAATAAGCCAAAAAGTTAAAAAAAAAAAACAACCCAATACACTGCTTCCACAAATAGAAAAAAAACTTAAAAGCAATACAAAGACAGTCTGTTTAGAAAAAAAGCAAGTATTTTTGATGGCTTGATAAAAAAACACTTGCAACAGTATTTTGCTAATCCGTACACAATATTTTTACAATAATTAGGTACCTGTCACTAGCATTTACAAAGCCAGTACTAGAGCAACAATCTAGTCCTGGAGGACACAATGCATAGTTTTAATATAGCGAATGTCTAGCCTCCCCTGATCACAAAAATATCAGGACAGCGAGAATATTCGCATCACGTTACATAGCAATAAGATTTATTTGCAGTTCCTTAGCTTAGAGTTAGCCGCCACCCCCCCCCCCAATCAAACCTAACAGTAACATTTTGAAAATTAAGTTTACAGTTACTATTTGAATACAAGCAAGCTAAATAAAGTTTTCTGAAGAAACAGCAAATTCAAACCGATGTCACTTGGGGAACATTTGGTGGAAGTTATTACAGAAATCATTAAATCCATGTGTAGGCATTTTGGTCAACTAACAGAACAAAAGATTGATTCTTCTCTTAGAAGATTTTGGAAAGAGGCTGAGAAGTCACCTAATTAGCAGTCTATATGAGGAACTTGAGCAACTCTGGCACAAAGAGTGCTACCAAACCATAGTAATTACACAAAGATTTACAGTTTTAAAATAAAACATGTAATATAATTTTCAAGCCTGGATTAGTATCCACCTGCATATAGATTATTTTTGTATATATTGTTCTGGGAAGCAGGACAACTCACAATCCTTTGTCTTAGATTAAGAACAGTCAAAAAAGGTTGATGTAAACAGCATGCTGCACAAGCTCATATTGTAGCTGATGGGCTCAGAAACCTATACGATAAAGTTGCTTCCCAGCCACTGAAACCTCATTACAGACCGACAGGTAGACAAACTACACGCTCACAGGGTTTAGCAGTAAAAGGAGCTATGTGCAAACATAAGCAGCCGTAATTTCAGGTTCTAAGAACCTAGGACTCACAAAAGAACAGGATCTTGGTTAGCGAAAATTATAGGACAGCAAAGTATGTCATCACCAAGTCACTGCACATTACTTGCTCAGTGCTGCTACTCACAGGTGAACAGAGGAACCACTGATACATACCATTTGGTCACGATACTGCAAGAGAGACATACCTGGGTCAATGATAGCCAGCGTGCACACTCTGTAGTATTTTCCGCATGCTGTGCCCAATTCAATGTTGTTGCCGCTATAATGATGGACACCAGTCTTGGCAAGCATAGCGTAGTACTCTATCTCCGATTTTCTGAAATTCAAAAACTAGGTGTTACAGTATTTACGAGCAATTCTAATTGACTGTAATACGACGAGAGCAGCTTTGACTTCAATCACACTTAAACCTTACACAGTTTTCCTTCCCACCCAGAAAAACACATCTGTTCCTTGCCAGCCAACATCACTACTGTGCTGTGGCTCAGGAACCCTTATCCAGAAGTATGCTGAAAGTATGTAACGGCAAACCCACTTTTGGAGTGCAAATCCTTGAGGTCACTCCTACACATGCTCATTTCTACAGGAAAGAAGGGGATTCAGGACTTTAAGCCTTCCGAAAGGTTGTAGGAGCTAAGCCAAAGTGCATAAACGATGACCATTATATTAATGCTGATATCCAACAGCCAGATGCTGAACAGAGATCTGACTGCCACTAGCTGTGAAAGAAACTGTATTTTTCTTTTTAAAAAAAAAAAAAAGAAAAAAAAGAGTCAATCTATATTCCCTTCTCTTCTGACTTCTACCAGGAGATTCTGGTGGTCAATATTGTTCCTCAAGCACTTTTGGGATCCCCACTAACATGTTGCCTACTCTAACAGTCCTGCCATTTCCGAAGCATCTAATTTTGGTTTTCTGCATTTACAGTTTCCTGAATCTGTCAATGTCCCTTGAAGACAAAAAGGACTCAGAAATTCAACAAGGAAAATGTCAGGAAGTTAGTAAAGATTTCATTCTCAAAAAAGCAATTTCACTGGCCAGGAACCTAAATTTATAACTAATTTGGACAGCAAATTTTGTGTGCTTCAAATATTTTAAATCAGTGTCAATTACTAGTTTTCCTACCTGTAAAATTATTTTCCAATATACTACTTTGAAAAAAACACAGGAATTCAGCCCCATTATACTTGTAATGAATGCTATCACAGTGCGAAAAGCTTACAGTATCTTTGCTAGTGTGAACTCTTTGAATTAGAGAGCTAGAAAAAGGTTGGAAGGCATTTCAACACATCCAGATCCGAAATCATTATACACCAAACAACCCATAAGTTTTATTTCATAGCACTCTGGAATATGCCAGCAAAGTATTCTGCATTAAAATTCACTGTAGCGATTAACATGAAGTACATGCTATATTTATACAAAGAACCTGTCTTAGTTTTGAAGGGAACTGATTTTTCATACATCTGCTTACCTCAAAGCAGGACAATTGTTGGCTAGGATGACCAACTTGGCTTTGCCCTGTCGAATCATCTTCAGAGTCTGTTTGTATCCTAGCACATATTTACCACTTTTCATAACCAGCTGAAGCCTAGAGTTTATAGACTCTAGGGACTTTTTCTGAAAAAGGTGTAGAAAAGCATTATTGTATGTTACTTCACATTTTGCAAAATAGCGGAGAACGTAAGAAAATGAATACATTCCAAATACAAGCAATCTTTTAATAATTTCCCTATGATTTGCAACACGGAATAAAAAAGCTTGTGGATAAGAGAGTTGCTGATACTGTGTTTTCCCAATTTCATAAAAATATCTCTTACGTATGTATCTTACAACAGGAAAATACACCTTAAAGCATTGTTGCTGCTATCTATCTGCTAATCAGTAACATCCGGGTGTATTTGACAGGCCTTTAATAAAGTGCAGCTAGTCAAGTCCAAGTAAGTATTACTTCTGCCTTGCAAA